AAAATTTCTTAAGTTCTAAATTACCCTTAGGTGATGTTTTTTGTGGTATATCTTCTTTCACAGCCTTTGTAAGTGCAAGCATATTTTTTTCCATGCAATTCTTCTTCAACCCTCTGCTGAAACTGGAGGACTTTCACTTGATGAACCATTAATTTCATAAACTAAATCATCACCCACAACTTGTTCATTTAACACTTGGTTTTGAATAAAATTCAATTCTGTATCATTCAAATCTAGCATTTCAGAATTCAAAGAATCAGCTGCTAAAAATGCCTGGGTTCCATCTGCTAGCATCACCGTTCTTAAATTACTTTTGCTAAACGTTTGAAAATCATCATTCAGGGGAATTGAAACATCATTTAGAAAGCTGGTCTGATCTATTTCCGAGCTCATGAGAAGAGCGTTTTCTTCATTGAATTCAAGAATATAAAAATCATTAGAATCATCAGTTACAATGCCTGATGAGTCATTAGATACAAATAGTCTCAATACTGGAGGTTCTGTTGAAATTGTAGCCATGTCTGCTTCAGAAACATTTGCAAACTTATCTTCCATCGTTTAAAATTAATTATTTATTTTTCATCTGGAATAAAAATAACAAAAAATACTATAATATTGAATACTTCAGTCGTATTTAGAATATTACCCTTTCAAATTCAATAAATAATAAAAGTAGGTGCGAAATCACTCACAATGATACTCACATCTAAACACGCCGTAATAATTGTACAATTTTTTCGTTAGGTATTTTTATTCCATAATCTATTGAATTATGGAAATTATAACAATACAACAAAATTATGAAAAACTCTCAAATTGCTAATTAACTTAATTTATTGTTGTTCCATATTTTTGACACATACAGATAACCTAAAACTTATTGGTGATGGCCGTCGAATAAAGCACCGTTTATTGAACCGTTTTTTTTTTTTCGTTAATTTCGTTCTTCTCGTTAAAAATAAAATATAGTGTCCATAGATAAAGAAGAGTATATAAAGATGTGTAACTTCAGAGTTGTCGATCAATAAACAGCCCCACAAAAAGCGCCAATTTTAAATTTAAACTTTAACAAGCTATGCAAAGCTATGAATATAGGGTCATCCTAGCTTTCACCGTTAGCTATACTAGCTAACAGCTAACGGTGTAAGCTCATGAGAAAGTAAAAATCAATCTAAAATTTTTCAATTCAATTTTAATGGTACCTTTGATCAGTTTTATTTACTACAAAAAATATAAAAGTTATAGTGGACTTAAACCAAATTGAGCACATATATCTGTGTGTCTGTTTTTTTGTTAGTAAAGTACCTAGACAATATAATAGTATCTATCACCCACAGCACCCACCCCAGTTTAGTTTAGTTTAGTTTAGTTTTAATATTATTATATCATATATAATATATAATATATATATATATATAGATAAAGAAGAGTATGGAATAGAGAACCAAGACCCATAGATAAAAGATGAGTGCCAGACCTTCTTTATAAGTTTTTGGTTTTTAGTGATGAATCTGAGGCGCCGGTTTCGTTATCGCTCTACTTTTCAAAATTTTATTTGGTCCAATATGCTTATATGGTTTTATTTGCCTGATTTGGCCTGATCGCTCTGCTTCTGTCTTCAGAAGACTGTTTTTATATTTTAGAAAAAATATCACAAGCTAAAATGTATAAATAAATTGCAAATAACAATATTTTGTTATTTATTCCTGATATTACCATTATAAAAGATATGAGATCAAATCAATAAAACCAAATAAAGCAACAAACATCACTACAGTTTTAAATACACATAATTCATCACAACAATTTCTATTCGACTCTAACTAGTTACAGTAATTTAGTAAACATAATATTAATAAAATACTCTATATTAATGCAATGTTAATATAAACGAATTCTTAGGAATATATAATGCCAAATACACAAACATTATATAAATCAAAATTTTATTGTTTAATTCATGTAACAATAAAATAATTAAATTAAATAATTCTTTCTCATTTAATTCTTTGATAACAACAACAGATATCGATGTCAATTCGAAAGCAATACAATTTTTTCAGGAAATCACCAACAAACAAAATATACTATTAAATAAAATACAATAAAGTCTTACTTTCTTCTAGAATGCTTTAAACTTCAAAAAAATTGTTTCGAAAAAATAAGAAATATGTTGTTAAAAACAATTTATGTTAAATATCAAGATAAATAACTTTTCTGAGAAAAATGGCGATACTTCTCATTGTTTGCGCCAAGTACATTCAAATTAACCCTAATCGTAAGCTCGACAATTAAACACAACACATATATATCAGCACTGTTTTGATGTTAATACAAACACTTTTGGCACAAGACACATTTAATAAGAATAGTTATTCATCACGGACTAAATAATGATTTCTGAGGTATTGTTTGTTGTCCTTTTATCTGTGCAACAAAATTGAGTAATGTTTTTAAATTACTTTCAATCATAACCTTATCAGAAAGTAACTGATCACGCCTGTAGTTTTGTCTTTTAATTTTTACACACAATTCTGATGCTAAAATATCTAAATCTTGTACTTCATATCTCAAATGTCTATTTCTGTGCAATAAGTTGTTTCGCTGCTCTTTCTTGATTTTCAATTGATCTGTTAATTCAACTTATTTGAAAAATGAACTATGGGTTGAAGCTTTACTTCATGCATTACCTTTACTAGCATCAGGACTACATTTGTATATACAATATGGGCACATATGCTTTTGAACATGTAATTGCCCTGGTCTGTGACATAGAAGGTGGTAGTATTCACCACATAATTGGCAGCAAATGACACTCTCATCATCTAGATGAATAAAATATATATATATATATATATATATATATATATATATTTATATGACACGATTTGGTTTATGGTGAGCACAAAGTTGGTATCGATAGATGATTGAACTATATGAATTCAAGTTTTAAAAAAGTATAAACACAACAAATAATATACATACCATGTAACTGACAAATAATACAAATGTCTATTTTATTTCCCATTCTATTCTTGTCTATGTTATTTCCCACTTCTCTTTTAATTTCAGAACAAACTGTAAGGTTTTCTAAACCTTGAAATTCAGTTTTAATTTCAGATGGTACTTCATTATTTAAAAAATTGTTGACAATATGATTAGCAGATTTGCTCTTCCCATTTGTATCGCTAGGTACTTGAGTTTTGAAACTGGCATTTGACCTTAATCGAGTCACTGGTGGAGTTCTTTGCTGTAGGTATAACTTCTTTTTACTTCTCTGAGATAAAAAAAATCAATTAGAAATCAAGTCTATTTAATTGTTCTATATATACATATATGTTATTTATAAATATAGAATCATGAGTTTTGGATTTTTGTGTATAATATATTCATCTGTGTATCTCTATTCTGAACAGTAAATTCATTTAAAAACAAAAAGTTTAAGAATGTACAACTTACTTGCAATGTTTCATCATCCTTCAGAAACCAAACACAAATTAATACAAATAATGCATATATATATATATATATATATATATATATATAATTACTCCAAAAAGATATAAATATAACATTAAATTCTAATATAATTATAATTATATAAGTTTAGATTACAAGTACTTTCCAGTATGAACTAACGATAAGCAAAGATGAATAAATTGACAAAAAATAGCTAAAACAGTAAATACTTAATAAAAAGTAATTAAGATTACATACTTTTTTATTTTTTGGTGTTTTATGCAACAGATCCACATCAATGGCTTTGACATTCAACTGCTTTTTCTTATGAAGTCTTTGTTTAATAATCTGTGTACATCGGTCGTGTGTTAACACATTGAGGTATCTGCATAAGATAGATCAGCTACACAAGAAATTGTACTACATTCTTTCAAAAATGTAAAAAATTCATTTTAATCTTGCAACAGTTATATAGATTGAAAAATGCTAAAAAAAACATATTTAAAAAAAATGAATTATTAAAGTTTAATAACAGCTTTATTCATTTTCAGATGACATTTAAGATATCATATACAACAAATTTAATTCGTTTGCTGGTCAAAAATTATTCAATGACCAATTATTGAAATTGACAAAATCTACATAGATTATATTTCAAATCAAAGTAATATTGTTATAATATTTGAATACTATAAATGATAACCCATGATTTATCAAAACTGGAGCAAAATTAAAATGAATCCACAAATTATAATTGTAGTCAATTCCATTTTACCTAAAAAATTGTTCTTTAGAACCAGGCTCCATTGATGAAGCTGATGCTTCTAAATCTTCTTCAATGTGTTCAGATGTTTCTTTCTCCTTGGATTCATCTAATATTTCCATTCCATCATTTTTTATGATTGTTTCCATTTTATTGCTGTCCTCTTTCATGATTTGTTCAACTTCATTTGCTTCATTATTTTCACATTCGTCATTTTTAGCAAAATCCTCACTTTCACCAACAGTTTGTTCTTCACTATTGGCATCATTATTGTCAACTCTTTTATCATTTTCTTCTATTTGGTTACCTTCTTCCATTTCATTGTTTGAATTTGTATTACTATTTAATACTTTCTCATCATTTGTATTAATTCCTTTCTCATCATTTGTATTAATTCCAATTTCTTTGGTCTCATCTTGATTAATATTTTCATTATCATTATGATTATCAAGATTATCATCATCACAGTAGTATTCATCAGGATTATCATCTCCAGCACAGCTTTGAAAATCATCATCAATATTTTCACTGTCATCATGATTTTCAGCTTTATCTTCACTGAAATTAGGTTCCTCCGGATCCTCTAATTTAATGTTTGCATCATTGTGCTCGTATTCAGACTCAGGGCTAATTGTAGTTGAATGAGATGACTCTTTTTGATCTTGTGTTCCTTCTTTAACCATTTCTGAAGTATCATGTACTATTGTTAACTCTGGAGATGATGGTGGTGATGTTGTCTCACTGAAAATTTTTATAAGAGATATTAATAAATTTATAAATGAGTATAAAATGATAAAAAACTTAAATATATTAAGAAGTAATCAATTGCATTATCTGACACTATTTTACATAAAGCATAATTAAATTAAGAACTGTCTACAATTACATTAATAGTCGGATATAAAAATACTACATTTTAATATATGAGCAAAATGAAGAAAAAACAACAAATGTAAACAGTGATAGATTTTAATTTATGATTGACCAACTTACGATTTAACTATTATTGGATCATCCGGTATCTCCACAATCGATGATGTTGTTTCACAAACCGATGCAGTGTTTTGCTTGCAAACTTTATTGAGAACACTTAACAACTTAGAACGACGGTCTTGTAAAAACTTGGACTTCGGTTTGTCTTCATTCATTTTAATTTTTTTCTGCTGCTGAGAAGTTTCTTGGCCGTTTTCTTCTTGAGAACTAACTGAAGCTCGCTTCGATGGTATTTGACTCAATGAAATTTTTTTATTCGGCTGTACTTCATCAATGGTTTCTTCAAATGATGTTGGTGATAATGAGGAAGATTGCACCAAAGTCTTGTATTTATTTCTTAAAAATATTAGATATAATTATTAGTACCGTGATATATGAATGATAGCAAAGAAACTTTGCAAATCATAACTTTATATTTAAACACTAAATGCTTCAAGAGAATTTATGAATACTAAAAATTGTAAATATGCACCTTTCATTTTGATATTCTTCCAATTGACGTTCAATATAAGCTGTATCAGCATCATAATTAACTGGTTTCTTTTCCCTTTAAGTTTGTCATGGTATCTATCCAGTTCATCACGAAGTTCTTGTACTAGTGGTTTCTAAAGAAAATATTTTCAAGTTAAAACTATTATGAAAAAACAAGAAATAAAACATAATGCCCAATTCATAAATTCCATGTTGAATGAATTGAAATACAAAATTTCAATTTCATTATATTATATACATCATATAGACATTCATAATCTATAATATAATGACGATAATAATAACAATAATAGTAAATAATAATTATAAGTAACTTGTGTGAAACATTTTTCTGTGCATAACAGAAAAAAATGTGTTATGAATTGCAGCAGATCAATTAGCCATTTTGTCTTTAGTTGCTTTAATTTTTCAGCTGACTGTACTAATTGTATTATAACTAATTCAGATAGATTAATTTTGCTAGCATAAATTTATCAAAAAGATTTTAAAAACATATAAAAAAAAATTATCAAATAAAGTAATCAAAAATGTTCATAAAACTGGATTATAAATGAAAATAAAAATACAAGAACAAACGTCATACAATATAATTTTTAATATTTATTGATACCAACAAACTAACTGTAACTAGCTAATTAAAATCGAACTACAGTTTTCAAATAATTAGTAGATAGTGTAACAAATTTAATAGAATTTTATATCATATATGTAATATATAAACAAAAATGTAATACAAGTTTTTGCTCCATTCAACTATTAATTAATCATTATAATTAGACTATAATGTATCACTAACCTTTGTTTTGCGATAGATCTTATCAAATTTTCGGCATTGACTAACTTTTCAGTTAATTCTCGTCTCTAGAAATAATTACTAATTATAACATCAATTGTAATTGAAAGTTTACAGTTAAATATAAATACTTACATCCTTTGGATTAGCCTTTAATTTTTTAAATAATTTCTGTAAATTGAACATATGTTATTATGAAAAGAAAAACTTTGTTTATATATATAATATATATATATATTAAATGTGTGTGTGCTATCTAAGAGTTTATTTACCTGGTGAAGCCCAATAGCACCTCTTAACTTCTGCTGGCAAACCATAAGATCATTCTTAATATTTTCGGATATATCCATTATTATTTTTTCAACAAATACTCTAAAATATTTAGTTCGCAAATTAAGGTATATGCATAAATTATAGCATAGTATGTTTACTCAAACTTAGCACCATTTCATTAAATGCATGAAAAGCAGTACAGTTCATTAATAATATACTCTGTCAAATAAATTCGTTATCACATTAAGTGAAAACAAATATTTATTTTTACAATTTGTAAGATAATAAATTCTCTAGGAACAGAATATCGAATAGGAATATATTTTTATAGGTTTTATATTTTATTTTACTATCAAAAAAAATTATGTTTTCGTAAATTAGTAGCGGAATATATCGACTATATATTTATAAACATATCACTATAATATTTAAATAGAAAATTATTATTATTATTACTATAGCAAAATAATTGAGTCCACTTTTAACGATTTTACTATATTTTTATTTGCACATTTTTGCATAGGAGCAGTAAGCAACTAGGAAGGCTGAAACCGGGATCTGACATAGCATAGGATAATTAATTTTTAGATAGTGACATCTTATGCTCAAAGTTTGAAACCAAAATAGAGCGGGAGCCGCTAAATATTTAAATTTTTGTCGCAAAAAAGTTTCTTAAATTATTGGCTCTTAAGTTTTACACTCCTATCCACATTGTTTGAAAATAAAAAATAATGTATAAAATAAAAAATAATGTATTCAATATGTATATAAAATGTGTAAATAATAATATACATATAAAAATGTACACTTTTTATTTTATGAACACAATCATCAAAAAATTAAACTAGAAGGATCAAGAATGAATGAATCGTAAATTGTTGTATTTGTATGTGGTTGGCCAAGAATGTAAATTGATTAAAATGTATTAATCTTTTACATTTTTCAGGTGAATAAAATCGAAATGTATAAAAGCACAATGCAAAAATTATGAAACGTTTAGGGTAAAAGGAAAGGTGATAAGTTAACAAGGATCCCTAGGATCCTATGCATCCTGAATATTATTTTTTCTAGAGTCCCGATGGCTGAATTATTCAATCTGATCTATGGACCCACAGTTGTATTTGTATCAAAAGGCCAGGTGAAGGCAGCAACGAGTTTATTCGAGTAAAGTTGGCTGATATTTAGTACTGTACATATTTGTGAGTTTTGTAAAAATCGGTTATGTTAAAAAAATAATAGTAACACCGTCAATTTGATCTTTAAAGACCGCTAAAAATTGTTTACGTTTGTTTTACGATTTGTTTACACATGGTTTACACTGACAACTGAAGTATCATAATATTTTTGATGATTTGGTATAACCTCAAATTGCGGCAATAGCTTGTGATATTTATTATCTTTATCTGTTATCACTTTATAATGTCGAAGCGCGTAGCAGACAAAGAAATTAATCAAGATAATTGGGATGAAAATGAAGATTCAGAAGAAGCAGGAACTTTCCAGCAAGCCGCTGACCATATTCTCAAATCTAGGGTTATCAAAACCGCTAGACGTCGAAATAATGCTACAGAATCATCTGGTGCTGCCAAACCTATATTCAGTGGTTTTAGTTTTACTAAACAACCTGAACAAGAATCGTCCAAACCTGCGTCCCTGCATTTTGGAAATACTTCTAAACTTGAAAGTACTAAAGACAATTCAGTTCCAGAATCAGACAAGGAGAAGTGTCTAAGAGATAATGAGTTTTTCACACAAATAAGAAGCTTAAACAAAAGTGTTTCTCAATGGATTAAAGAGCACGTAGATAAGGATCCAATTTGTGTTTTAACACCTATATTTAGAGACTATGAAAAACATTTAAGAGAAATTCAAGATAAATATGAAAAAAGAAAGGAATCAATAAGCTTTAATTCGGCAAATTCTGTTACTGATAGTATTAAACCTCTGAGTGACTCTGATAAAGGTCGCTCTCCGGATAAATTAGAACATAAAACTGATAATTCTTTAAAAGTCTCAGCAGAAGAAGCAAAACAAAAATCAATATTTGGTACAGGCTCTGCAACATTTTCATTTGGAAATAGTACTACTAGTCCCCCAAGCACATTGCCTACGGCTGGCTTCAGTTTTGGCATGGGAACACCATTTACTTTTGGTAATGCTGTCTCAAATCCAAGCTCAACTAAAGAATCAACACCAAGTCAGTCCAGTGTTCAAGAAGATCCTGATGAAGATGAACCTCCTAAAGTTGAATTTAAAGCAGTAATTGAAGAAGACAGTATTTATACTATACGCTGCAAAGTTTTTATTAAAAAGGATGAGAACTATGTTGATGGTGGTGTGGGGAATTTATTCTTGAAACCTGTGAAAGATAGGAATAAGATGCAACTAATAGTAAGAGCTGATACTAATCTGGGTAACCTTCTTTTGAATGTTCTATTATCTGATTCAATACCTACAAAAAGAATGGGCAAAAATAACGTTATGATGGTTTGTATACCTACACCAGATAAACCTGCACCTACTTCAATTTTATTGCGAGTGAAGACTTCAGAACAAGCAGATGAACTGTTGGAAATGATTGATAAGCATAAGTGTTAATTTCTTTTGTTAAGATTATTTTTTATGCTGATATTAAACATTCATTGTGAGGTTTAATATGAAATTGTATTTCAAAATATAATAAAGCTTCACTACATTATACACAAATTTATATTTATATTATTTTTCATAATAAACAAATCTTTTTATATTGCTGCATTATATTTTGTTTGCATATTAATTATTGAATCCAGATCTTAAACCTTCTTCTATATGCCGCAGATGAACCTCAATACAATTCCTGAAGGTTGCTTTATTTGCTGAACTTATTCTGGATTTTATTTCATCTACAGTTCCTTTCAAGTATTGTAGTTCACTTGGGCTCTGTTCAGATTCAGATAGACATCTAATTTGCATCATTAAAGCAGTTAAATCAGTAATAACATTTAAGTATTTTTTGTTTGTGATAATAGCTTTTTCAGGAGCTCCTGAATTATGTTGTTGCACCATCTTAGTGGCTTCCTCTCGACATTTTTCTCTTAAATATGAAGGAGCAATCATTGATGTTAAACCAGGTTCTGGAGCAATTTCAGTGCAAGTAGTTTGTACCTCGTTCAAAAATTCTGTTAAATCTTTATTAATTTTTTCCAATTCCAATAATATACCAGCATATTGTTTTCTAAATGTTTCTGGAGGTTCTCCAGCAAAAGATAAATTACGTTCAGCTTCTCTGTTTAATTCTGACAATCTTTTAGTTTTCAATCTTTTGACATTCAAAATTTTATGAATGCGAATTACATTTTCCAGTAGCTTTACAGGAAATCCTCCAAGTGTGTCTTCAGACATTAAACTTGAATCTTTCATTGGCGATAATGCAAAAGAATCTGATTGACCGTAATTTGAGAAAAGTAATTTATTGGTAGGTGTCAGGTAACTTCCCTGAGATCTAGGTCTGAATTTTTGAACTATGCTACTTAATGATATTGTTTCTGGAGCCTCATGTGATAAAACTTCAAAATCTGGAACTGAATAAGTACTCAAACCAGGCCGATCAAATGTTATTCTGTAAGTACAATTGGATGTATCTACAGCATGAATAACCCCAGTAAATAAACCATCTTGGGGTTTACGCAATCGTGCAGTAACTTTTGTACCTAAAACTAAAGGTAATGGAATTTCATCAGGCAAATCTTTACAATTAGCTACATCTCCAGGTATACGTTGTTGAAGAGCTCGTATTTTTTGTCTTTTTCTTTCTAATTCTCTTCTTTCTTCTGTAAAAAATGCTTCTGAACATCTTCTTGGCTTACCCATCATTCGTCGAATTTTTGTCCACTCAACACGAGTTAACATATGTGTTTTCAATTGAGGAAATGATTCTTTAAGACAAATCATAAAATCATTGTCACCATCAAATAGTGTCTTATCTAAATTACTGTAAAACCATTCATAACAAACCCATTTATGTGCTTTCGGCAGTTTTAGCAAATTGCGTAATCTCATACCTATTTTCTGGCCTAATTTCTTATCCGGTGCCTGAGTACTTGTCTGACCATTTTCATCATCATCTTTAGTTCTATATTTTTTTATAGGCGTTACCTTGCGTTTCTTTTGGATAATACTTTTATGAGGTGTCTTTACCGGTGAGGATTTTGGTCCTCTTTTAGGTGATGATCTAGGAGGCTTTGCATTAACAATATCATCATCAAAAAACAATCGATTTTTCTTTCTTATTCTAGCTGGCATCCCTCTTGCATTCAATACTTGTATGGGTTGTGAGGGAGCAGGTTTTGGAGGTAATTTTGTACCCACCCTGTGCAGCCCCAAAGCAGCTGGACCAAAAGCTGGAACATTCTCCTCGTCTTCTATATCTTCTTGGGGCTCTTGCTTGACCATAGTTTCCTCACTCATCGTATTTCAAATGTCAATAATATTCCATATGAGAAATTTAAATTGCAAATCGCAATGTAAAAATAACTTCTACCATTAACTACACAACTATGCAACACAAATTCAAGAATATTATACACAAGATAAAAGTTAATCACTATTTTAAAAGTCTTATAATTTGTATTTCATAAGTACGATATTTCAAAATTCAAATCTGTACACATACAGTTTATTAAATCATTAATAAGCATACCCGTAGGGTATAGATTTTGTAAATTCAGCACAAGTACGCTTCATAAAATAAAAAATCCAAAAAATTAAAATTCTGTAAGAATAGCAATCTCATAAAATCTGTTTATTTGAATCGTAATAATCGAATTACTAAGTTTAAAGTTTGTCCGCCATTTTGACGTTTGAATAGGCTCTTGGGAAATGATTACATCCAGCATTAGTATGAAAAGCGCACGAAATTTAAATTTAAATTCAACGAACTGCTTTTTTCGTACAATATTAATTTTATTAGCAATTGAAAGTTTAATAAAAGAAGGAGTAAAATGTTCTGAAGAATTTAAAATTGACGCAGAACCTGAAATATCCTGTCGAGAAAAAACACGTCTCATTGGTACCGATAAAAATGACTTATATGAGCTTGTCACAGCTCCTTTAAATGGTACAGTTGAACTGGAATGCCATTTTTGGTAAGCTTACTTTTTTAAATATTATTATTAATTATGTAGATGATAGGAAATATAACCAATCGTTATGAAAACTAATTAATAAGTACGAGCTAAGGTCCTTGAACCGTGTAATACTAAGTAACATATTTGAGTAATGTACATAAATCATAAATCTTTCACATTGATATAACATTACACAGTTAAATTTTGAAAAGCTGCTTTTATAAAACCACCTGTCTAATATATATATATATATATATATATATATATAATTAATTTTATAATAATATATATTAAATAATATATATTAACATCGATGATTTTTCCAAATTTGCCATTCAATATTCAGAACAAATTTTTCTTTATTCTTGTCGTATTTAAAATGTTTTTTTTAATATACATTCTTTTATATATCAATTGCGAT